GAGGACCCCGATGTATCGTCGCGCTGCATCCAATCGGCGATCGACTGTCTTTTTATCTTTTCGCGACGATTCGTTTGCTTTTACGATCGAGTATTATTGATTGGCCGTTTCCTGCGTATATATGCATGCATAGGTGCGCCGCGTATCCTTTAATGGTTTAAGTAGAGCTGGCGTATGAAGCATACATACCACACGGGAGACGTCGGTTGCCCTATCGCCGCCAGACGGCTTCCGTCTGGGTAAACACACCGATATACCGAACAGTCTGGCTGGCAGGGCTTACCGACCACCTAGGGACATCCATCACTGGATTATCGCGGGAGTACGCTCGCGCGCGCGCGCGGTTAGGACGTGCGACGCCTGTGTATGCGCGATCGGTATGCATAAACCTCCATTCGCCTACCGCCTCGTCTACCTCTGCATCCGCGTCTAGGCGTTAGAGACGGGCGTGTGTGTATGGGTATACCTCCGCAGCGTGTTTCGTCCGTGTACCACCGTGATTCGAGTCACTTCCGAAGTGACTCTTCAAACGGTACAAACATCGCGATGAGTTTGAAACTTTTCGTCGCGAGTCCGGTGAGATTAGAATTCCTCACGTCGAAGATAGAAGGGTGAGACTCTCGAAATCTTTCGACTTCTCTAAGAAGTGCCGGGAGAATGATCTTGCATGAAAAAGATATAATAGTAATCGGACGTACTCTCTAAGGTACAATCATTAGAATGTTATATTTGGAATGTTATAATTGGAATGTTATAATTGGAAGAGTAGTTTAGTTGTGAGTTTACTTGCAAGTATATCGTTGCAACAATAAGAATGTTCAAGGTTAAGTCCGAGCATTGGTATTTTTACCTTATGTGATCGTAAGAGAGCAAAGGTGTGTGTTTTGCTTGCATACGAGTATCGTAACACTATTAGTGCTAGACACCGAGGCTGCGGCCTCGGTTTACCCAGTTTAGTCTAGGAACTCTAGAGCATAGACTCTCGATAGACGGCCGCGAGAGAGCTAATTAACCCTGTATAAACATGTCGCGGCTCAGCAAGAGGGAGATTGCAGCCGGGCGCGCGCCTCATCTGGAAGAGCCTTGGAAGCGCGAAGAGCTCTCCGAGATTCCTCCGAAGTTCTTCGATATTCGGCAACGATCGTTCATCTTGTTTCTCGAAAGAGACGTACGTGCCGAGACAGTCGCCTCCTCTTCTGAATCGCAACCGATATGTCCGAAACTCGAGGCGAGACGTCGCTTTCCGACGACTTGAAATGGGATTCCCTCGGTCGAATTACATCCACGTTGCTCTCCTCTCTCCGGACGTATGTTACGTACGGCAACGTTTCGATCGTTTTGATGAATAGAAAAAGAGAGAAAGCTAGCAAGAGAGAGAGAGAGAGAGAGAGAGAGAGAGAGAGAGGGGGAGAGAGAGAGAAAGAGGAAGAAACTTGACGTTTATTTGAGAGTTGTGGTGCGGTGCAGTCGACATGGTGCATTCGGTGACGGTAACGGAGGGAGGAAGAGGAGGACGAGGTGGTTGCGGCGGCGACGCCGACGACAACGACGACGACGACGACGACGACGACGACGACGACGACGACGACGACGACGACGACGACGGTGGTGGCAGACACACTGGCGGCGTTGTAAACGAGCAAAGTTTCGAATCCAATATGCTGTCTCCGCGCTCCAGAGCCCATATTCAACCTGTCAAGGTGCGGCGCACGTGCGTCCACGTCGCTTCCCGGTATGCCAGACGGGTAAACCAGGACAAACTTTCGAACTGGCACAGACCGTCTGGCACCCTACCACCGTCGCAGAACCCGCGAATTCCTAATATGTTATTGTACTTCGGCACCGTTTTGTCCATACGCGATCGGCTGCGGATACAGTGTCTGGGTTCACGACCCAGGAATTTCCTCTTCCTTTCTTTCCTTTCTCTCTCTCTCTCTCTCATTCTTTTATTGCTTTCTTTCTGTTTTTAAATCATATAAACTTTTTCTCTTTCCCTCTCTCATCTCAGCGGGCATACAGAGAGTTTTCCGGCGCGTACCGGTGAGTTAATCGCGTTAGACACATATTCTTTCGCGCTTGATTAATCACGAAACCGGTTGCATCCATTCGCTTCGTCGTTTCTTGCTGACGTTTTCCTCTTCTTTTTTTTTTTTTTTCTTCTGCTTCTTTTCAGCACTTAAATGAACGGCGCATTTGGCACATTGCACCCGACGCAACGCGGTATCATTATGCCCCTTGCCCAGCCACGCAATAGAGTTTCGTGCTTTCGCGCCGCCACGTCGTCGTATAATCGCACACGCACGCATTCACGCACGCACGCATATTCGGTGCATCGACGAATCAGCGTATACGCATACGCATTAAACGTGTCTGGGGTTGAACGATGAATTAAGCGAGAAAGAGAGAGAGAAAGAGAGAGAGAGAGAGAGAGAGAGAGAGAGAGAGAGAGAGAAGAGTGGGAAGGGCAGGGACGTGGCAGACGTCGCGACGTGTCTGCGCCATCTAATCGGTAATCACGGTACATTGCCTCCGCTTGGACGTGTCGCTCAATCAGCTGGTGTTGGCCTATTTGCCTATTTTCTACCCTCCTAGTTTTCGCCTCGGTGCGGGACGAGACTGTCAATTTGCTTGGCATGTCGACGTCGCGTTCGATTCCATTCGGCAGCTGCAACTTTTTTCGCGGATTTTGCGAGATCGCACACTAACATTCAACGCACAGCTCTTATAGGTCTTATCTTTCTCAATTGGAAATTTACCCCATAATCCTGGTCTCAGTCAGTTGTTTAGTTTGTATAAGATAATGTTATCGAATTCTAATTATACAAGACTACAAGATAAGTTGTCAGACAACTTTTTAATCAGAACTCTAACATGAATCTTATAGATTTATAGATTTTGGACACCTAAAACAATATCATTAGTCGAATTGTTCTATCACGTCAGGTTAACCTAAGTTTCACGTTGAAAAATACACTTGACAAATAACGCCTCCTCTGATTAGAATTACTTGACAAAAACTTGTTTATGGTCTTGTGTTATTACTAATCCTTATTATTAATAAAGTTCTGATTTCCCTGTTACGTTACCTGACAGAAGGCCCGATAACATTACTTTGTACAAACCAGATAACTGATTGAGACCAACCTGATCAGGACCATGGAGTAATTTCTAGTCGGGCTATTGATTCGCGCAAATTTCCGTCCAACTATTCTCGACAATGATTAGATACATATTAAACAACCATATTGAATCTTTTCCTACAATTTCGTTGAGTCTGGATCGATCTGTTATTCGCGAAATCCCGCAAATCCGAGGGAAGAGAACGTTACTGGTAAACGTTAATTTTTATCTCTACGATCGATGCGTTTGAATAATTGAAGCGTCGATACGACGTGTCGCTAACGTTATTACGGCAGGACGACAAGCTATTTCGGCTCTCCTCTTCTAACGAAGTTACGAAATCTAGGTCGTGGCGCTGGGACCGGACAAAATAATTCAACGGTCCGACGGCGATACCCGCGACGGGACGTTGTTTAATGAATATTTCACGGTGCTCGCCTTTTCGCCATACAGTTTACTCCGCCATGCAGACCTCTCTCTCCGATATCATCGATCGATCGCGCTGCTACCCGTTAACCGTTAAGACCTGACAATTGCGGCCCGATTGATGGTCGCGCGCACAACGACTGCTCTCTCGTACGATAAATAATCCGAATATTCTCGCTTCCGAGCGTGTGCCGAGAGCTGTTGGCGCTTCGAGTGTGAGCCAGCTGTAACAACTTCCACGGTCGATGGCCCGTTGGCGGCGACAGCGATGATGAGGACGACGACGACGACAACGACGACGGCGACGGCAGCGGCGTCTCTTCGGGAAGATCGGACTAAAGCAATAAATGCTTGTAAACACTCGTCGATTAACGACCGCCCCGTCAGAGGCGATTAGGGTTAAAGTTAAGCGACGTAGCACACGAGACCGACAATAACACGGCCGCCTTCTATCCTACAAATGGATTCCTCCGTCTGGACCGATGTTGAGCCGCAAACGGGAAGAGAAAACGAACCGGCGAGCGAGTTATAATATATAAGTGGTCTAGACAGTCCAGACGGATGCATCATCGCTATCATCGTCGGAGTGAGAAAGCGAAACGCGCGCGAGCCTCTTCGCTCCTCGGCCTCGTCGCAGGCTTGTCAATCGAATAACGACCGGTCGTTTTACGTGCTCTACGACCGTCGCGGGATCGTCGTCAACGTGAATTCTTGGCGTTCTTATACGCACCAGCGATTCGCGTCCAAAGGGCGCGACGACGACCGCACGATCACACGAGACGAGACGGTGTCGTTAAACGTTAAACAGTGACAAGAGAGACTGGTCATCTTATATATTCCGAGATTGAAATAAGGCCTTGCAGGCCTTTTAATCGTCTTTAAATCACACTTGGAGGAGCACTTTTATCGATAAGAGAAAATTCAGAAGAAGGGTCCGAGTCTCGAAAAATCGAGGATGACGGAACTAATGACGAAACCACACGTAGATGAAGTAAGAGAAACGGGTTTAAATCACGGCCCAAGAGTCACGTTGACCGTGCGTTTCGTTTATGAATTCATCGTGAGAAAAGCAGGACTCTAAAGCTTGACCTGGTCTCCCATATTCGTCGGTGCGACGAAGCCCCGCGGTTTGCGGAAACATGGAAAATGAGGCTCCGCTTTCTTCTCATTCTTCTTCGGCCTCTGTACTTAAGTTTTCGTCTCTAAGTAAGTCAAGTAACGACGGTAGTAGATACGGTCTTGTTTGGCGCCTTTGGTAGATGGGACACGGCACTTGGCCCAAATACAGTCGAGGAAACGGTTCTTTCGTCGAGCGTTTTGGCGAAAGACTCGTGCGGAAAATTGTCTTCTTTCGTCGGCGAGCGTATCTTCAGAAATTTCACGGAAACCTGATATGCGCTCGTATGAGCTTTGAAATTATATCGTAACGAAGAATCGCGCTTTTCGTGTTGCAGATACCTATCAATTACAATCAGAACAGAGGTGGCCTCGGATCGAGCGAGACGGACTTTCCCAGCATCGAGTTGGACGCCAACGTGGAGAAGAAGCAAGCTTTATGGCGGAAAACACAAAAACGTTTCAAAGAAATAGACGACTGAAACTCATCGACGAGATCTCATATTACCTCGAATTACATCGGACAATCTCAGAGCTCAATAGTGACTCTACAATTTACAAATATATGGTAATATATGTGTAATGATATGATATATGTGTATTTATGTGGAATTGTGATGTATTTTGTACGTATGTACATATGGAAGAATCATGTTTCAATTATGAACAAGATTTATATTATATTGAGAATATTGCGCAATATCGAGGAATAAATGTCGGCCAAAGTTTTCAAATACGTGTATACTTCGATAATGCCTCAGAAGATATCATCATAGACAAGTGATTGTCAACTTATATAGATATTCTTCCATTATATTTATATGTCTAATTAACTTAATGTCTTTATAATTCTTTATCTAATAAAGAATATTGTGGCAGCGAATAAAAAAGTGAAAGAAGTAGAAACCGTTCTTCGAGTTTTAATGTTGTGCTTGTATATTTAGTTAAGGAATCAGCTCCCTTCTCCGAATCCGGAGACGGGGATCAACTGCGAAGTTCTGAGAAAGCGAGGGAAAAAAGCGAACGCGATATAAGAAAGAACGAGAAAGACGTTCTCTCCTAGAGAAACGGACACACTGTATATCGATAGCTATTTCGCCGATAAGATGCTTGGAGAGGGGAAAGGGGACAAAAGTATAAAACGAGAACGAAATTCGTCGCGTCGCGATGTAAGCAGCGATAAAACGGTATTCGAGGACGAGGGTAGTAGAATCGAAGAATACGTCGCGCCGCACTCAGGAATCTCCGAAAACATCGCTGACTAATTTCCAGTCACACACACACACTCTCTCTCTCTCTCTCTCTCTTCCTCTCTTTTCCCTTCCATTCCTTCTCTTTCTCGTCTTTTGCGATAAAAAATCGATTTTATATCATCGGGGTACCTGAGGCTAATAGCGTCCACTCGCGAAGCCCACTCAGGATCTGGCGGCACTAAACTATTTTCTCCGTTCCGGTCGTGCGTGGATTTTATGGAGTTTAAAAAAATGCCGTGCGACGAGAGGGGGCGGAAGAGGGGGAGAAAGAAAGAGAGAGGGGAAGAGAAAGAGAGGAGGATGATCAGAAATCCCAAAGCGGCGAGAGTCTTAAACTGAGTCACGAGTCTGGCCGTTACTCGACTCGAGAGAAACCAGTGCGATTCTGCCTTCTTTTCTCTCTCTCTCTCTCTCTCTCCCTCCTTTCCTTTTTTTTGTCAAGGTAGAAATCGTGGATTTCGCAGAATTCTGTTTCGTCCGAATCTACCTTATACAAGCGACCTCGGCGCGACAAAATCTCGGTGAAGGCCGTCTCGAGGTAAACATGTCGCCCTTTTAATAACGATCCGCGAAGATGTTTTCTTACGCGCTAATCCGCCTTTGCACGTCTCACATGATTTTCACGCGTGCATCTAGTTGACTCGATTAAACACAGCGCATTACAATCAGCGATAAAAAAGCGATGTCTTTTCCATTCCAAGAGCAATATCACTTTTTAAAGACATCCCGCTATAGTCTACAGAATTAATCGCGTGTCTTGGGATACAGTATCGTCTATTAACAATTAACACATTTAATAGACTCGAATGCATCGAGCAGATAAGGACATTTAAAGATTCCCAAAACTTTCCGTTGTCGTAAAAGTAGATGCACAGAAAGAGAGAGAGAGAGAGAGAGAGAGAGAGAGAGAGAGAGAGAGAAACGAGAGTCGGTGAAGAAGGATGAAAACGAAAGAGCAAAGGGGAAGAAGGCGCACGGACAGACAAGAAGACAGGAAATTGGCGAGGCTAGAAATAATTAGCGCGGTTATTTATGAGGCTCTTCTCGCCTTTCAATTATGCATTTCCGGACGCGGGAACGAACTCACGGTAAAGGAGGTGAGCGCGTTGCGATGCAGGTACTACGCGTCTTACGTTTTCAATTCTAATCCGCTAATTCCAAGTGAAAGCCGTAGCTGTTGTAATTACACCTTCGTCAACGTTCGCTTGTCACGTGAACTTCAACTTCGTGAGAACAGGTCCGGTATTACAGCCGCGAAAGAAAAGAGAGCTTCCCCGTCTAATTCGAAATTTCCTTCAGCTTCTAACTAGCGAGCGATTTTTCGAGGATCCCCGTCGAATATCGAGGATTCGAATCTGTTTGTGCACGCGAGCGGGTTTCGCGAGGTTGCAATTTTCTTAATTGATTTTTTCGCGCGTTGACAAAGACGACATAACACGCGACGGATATTTCTCCAAGGTTGGAGAAGTTACTTTTCGAAAGTAACTGTTATATACCGAGAAAAAATACTTGGAACAGCTTGTTTCTGAGGAACAAAGTTTATTTCTGTGTGTGAAATACAAACTTTGTATCCCGCAAATAAATAAATTTTCGAGTATTTTTCCTCAGTGTATCAATAAAGAGGATCAAGTGGTTGCCGAAAAACAGTAACTTGTAATGGTAGCAGCGTTACAAGTAACACGTTACTTTTCAAACCTCTTATCAAACGTCTGTCGCCGCAAATGCACGAATGCATCTCCGGTGAATCGCAGCGAGCAGTTTACGGAAATGTACCGTGCGAGTGGTAGAGGATCGGCGGAACCCAGGCGGAGACCTGGGTGTCTAGACGCGGCGGTAACGCCAGGTCAAATCGGTGCTAACAAATGGCTCTCGTTTGTTGCCTGTCAGCCATTTTTCGGCCCCCTTTTACTAGTGGACAGGCCTCATCTGGCCTTGATGCATCCCTCTTCTGACTGAAAGAGGAAAAGATAGAGAACCGACTCCACACCGTCTGGCCGCTTTCGTTTTTCCCTATTTTTCCGAAACGATCCGTCCGTCCGTCCGTCCGTCCGTCCGACGATCGAATCCGTTTTCCCCCGTAACCAGGCTGCGCGCATAAGTGTGTATACGTTATGTATTCTCTCGCGTGACTTAGTTATATTATAAATCACACAGAAAACCTATAGAAAAAACGCGCAAAACCGTGTCGTAATGACACAGCTGCGCAACGTTAACAAGCGATAATGTCACGTTGTACCGTTGCAAAATTAGACGGTTGCCGCGAATCCTCAGAATCGATCGCGTACGTAACGATCTCGATGCGCGATAAAACCTCCTCGGTGATCGTTAGATCGTTGCCGTTAACACGCGAACGCGTCGACAGTGACGCGTAGTTTTCCTACGTGTGGAATAGGATGAGGAACAATTGGACGTCGCGAAAACGTCCGCTCTCTCATTGTATGCGCTTGCTAATCAAGTCCTCTACCAATCTGTTATATAATGAAATGCAAATTTTCTGTAATTTCTTATCTTTCTCAAACATTTATATCATCGATACTCAAAGCAGATACGATAACTACGTAGAGCGTCCACATAGTCTATTTACATTGTCTGCGTAAAAAAAGACTGTATATATATTATATATATCACGTAAACAATACGTAAACAATCCGCAACCTCGAAATTTACGTCGCAAACCTCCTGGTGACCGTCACGGCGTTTAGCGGATTAATACGACGGGGTACCTCCCCGGTGAAGATGCGAGACATCTCCGAAGATATTACGTTCCGATGCACGCGACGAGATAAATGCTTACGCGAAGTGACGAATTGCGGTCGCGCGGAGCTCGTCGTGTAATTCGAGATGATGTCTAGCCTACATCGCGAGACAGCGGATCGAATTCGCGACCATTGTCCATTACCGCTAAGCGTATCTGGCGAGCACACTTTCATGCCACCTGCGTCTTAAAGCCGCAAAACGCAGCCGCGGCGACCGGTATGATTCTATATAATTCCTATGTGCAGGTGGTCGTCGGCGTGACAATAAATCGCGCTTAAATCAATACGAAGGTATCGTATCCTACGATACGATCGTAATCGATAATCACGCGATCTGTCGCGCTCTGTACCGCTCGATAATTCATTCGAAATTATTCGTTCAATCTTATAGCCAATTAATAACTCAAAATTTCACGCGGCTGTTTGCGAAGCGATGAAAGAATAATGTGTTCAGTCTGATGAGTTTTACCTGCACACAACTGGTGAATCGCCAGACACCCTGTATATCACGCGTACCAAAAAGAAAAATGAAACCCGATGGAACACTCTTAATAATGACGCTTCATTACACGACATGTTCTAATGACAAAATAACTTGATCGCGCGTATACACAAGCGGAAACCGCCGATCAGATGCATAATTTCACACAAGTAATGAGCAATAATGAAGCGTGTTTCTACGATTCGCGAGTGCAATAATGCAAGTACCATATGTTGCTGGCGAGCGCGGTAACGTTACGTTTCCGCGTTGCGAAATCCAATGTCCATATCGTTTTCACGGAGATTTCTTTCTTCCCTTTCGGTCCTTCTTTGTTTTAGTTATATACGCGCCGTTATATACGCGCCGACTATCAATTATATGCAAATCAAACGGGTTTCCTCTGGTGGGAATGCTCTCTCGAATCGCGACGATATCCTGTCGACGCTAATCGCGCGAAATACAATTCGTACGCCTCGGACTGGGCGTCCCTTGATTTTTCTTCTCGAAAACGAAGTGAAAAAGCACCAAGCCGCAATAAGAAGAAAATGGAGCAAAAAGCATCGAGCCTCAAAGTTACGCAAATTTTGTTGCATAAATTGCAGTCGACTCAAATCGGACAATCGGCTGGCCGTATACAAGCCTGAAATTGAGCTCAATTAACTCGATTCGAGCTGTTTTTCAACTCGTCTCTTTTTACATAATGGGAAGAAAACATTCCACCAGCTCCTCGTCGTCGTGCGACGATTTGCGGTTTCGATGCGCATCGATAAACGCGCGAGGCGCCTCGCGTACATCCGACAACGAGATCGATGCGCCACGAGATCGTCGTCGTGGGACTCCTCCCGAGTCCCGAGGTGTACGCGGTGTGGGAGTGCATTCTAACGCGCGACGTTAACGCGCGGATAAAGATTCTTCTCGCGAGAAGAATTCACGTGGCGAAAACGCGCGACGTCGTACGCGCGCGCGACCGTAATCGCGCGGGAGCCGGCGAGCCGGATGTTCGACCGTAGGCACAAACAGAAACAACAAAGGGTCCGGCCGGGTAATAATCCATGGTTGCTGTTAGCGTTTGTCCACCGGCCGTTCTAATAGACAAGCGCGCACGTATGTATGCGTGCACGGCGCGACGCGCATACGTGCGCACACGTACGCGTGTGTGCCGCGCGCGGTTTGTAATTGAAGGCTAGGAATGCGGACGCACGCATGAAGTAGCAGCCAGTAGACAGTGCAGGATACGCTTTTGCAATGTACCGCGCATTTATGTATGTCCCTATTGCCAAGGGAGCGTGCGTAGGCCGTGCCCGTGCGCGTTAATTAACGATAGAAAAACGAGTGTTCGTCGATCTTACTCTCGGCAGCTATGCGGCGCGCCGCATTAGCCGGCGCACGTTGCGTGCATGTACTACTCTACGGGAAAG